TAACCCTAGAAATCATATTGCAACCAGGTTCTTTGAAATCTGGACAAAATAATAACATTCTATTTGCAGGCAGTATTGGTTTCACAGTGTTAACTTGCCATCATTTTACCAGGTAATAGTCACATGACCAAGAAGCATTCAAATCCATCTGAAGCTCTACCTAGTTTAGGCAAATTTGGGCATTGATTAAACCAATCCAGTACTCATATTATGTAGTTATCTATTCAAAGCTGCTTGAAACCACTCTGAGTTTTGGTGTGCCCAGTATATGATGTCCCATAGGATCCTTGAAACTCCACGCTCCTTGAAGGTGCAGAAGGAATGAGATATCGGGTATACTTGCCCACTGAAAAGAAGTGATCAGTCTCCTGCAACTAATAACACTTCACAACAAGGGAGCTCTCTCTTCACACAGCCAGCGTGATTGAGAACTGAGCCTCAGCTCCAAACAAATTATTTGCTCCAGTGAAAAGAGAAAGACATTCACATGTTCTATCTATTCAGATCCTGATTAAACTCATATCTTGGATCAAATTCACCACAAACAGAGTCAGAACATTTCAAAAACTCAAAATTGATTTTTAAAGAAATCGGATACCTTCTTGGGCTAAATACAGAATATACAGATGTTGCTATCAATGGGGGCTTGAGAGACACCAGACTGATTCCTCTTTAATGCAGAAGAAAGCTGGAGTCAATATGCAGTAAAGCTTACCTAAACCATGTCAAATAACTGTCTTAAATCCAGGCTGTCAAAGACTGAGATTACGTCATCACAATCTATATCAATCCCAATATGTGTATTCAAGTAATGATGCATAGTCATTTTGGTCAAATCATTACCAGGTTTAAGTATCTTTTGAATTAAAATCTTGTTAAGAACCAAAGCTAATGTTTGAATAGGACCACCATGGCAAAAGTCATATCAGTTCACTTACAAGAAACCATATCTCCTCAATGTGTTCCAAAGTATGCCATGCAGTGAACAATTACCAGGGACTGATCTAGGATTACACAGTGCCCTAGGCAGACCAACTGGGAAACAATTATTACCTTGTTTCAGATTGGGATATCTTTTCACATTTTCAAAGTTACTTCAACACTGCTCTGTAACACTGCATTAAATACATTACAATGGTGTATAACTAAACCTCTTCCTCCATTCTTTGTCCTGTTATCACCCAAATATACTTCACCTTGACCAAGTCATAACATAGGTTACAACTATATTTAGATAATATAGGAACTTTGTGGATCTCATTTTAGGATTTTCACCGACATCTACTGCAGACTTTGGACTGATTTGTCTTGATAAACCACTAACTTTGTTCATTTGTTATGCTTAGATGGTCTACAGTTTCACGCAAAACTGACAGAACACACAACAAAGAGTGAATGTTGCTTAATGATGCATCATGGTCTACAGTTTTGCTTTAAAATTTGAACATATCTCCAGGAAGAGTGTAGTTGGTACAGAAACACATCCCAAGAATAAATTCAAGACTAAGGGTACAAACAGTAGTCCTGTTAAATTCACTTCTGTATTCGTAGTCCTGTTAAATTCACTTCTGAATCGAACCGTATCCATTCATGAATACAATTTATTATTCATGGTCATTGGAATATGCACAAATATGTTTAAGAGAGTGTTTTTACTTGGAACTAGTTTGCTGTGTATTTAAGTGAGATATGCAAAATGGAATATATCCATTTTAGCCATGCTGTAGAGTAACTTGTGTCATTTTTAAGTTGGCCTAAGTCATCTGGCTATAAGCAGCATTGTTGTCGACGTAGTGGTTTGGTTTTTAAAAGTCATTAAAATGTTTTAGCTTAAGTAATTACTTGACATGTTTGTTATTCTAATTCCTAGATATTAACAACAAGGTATTCATGAATAAGTATCTATATCTGTTACTATGATATTCTGAGACTAGTACGGTACATCACACTTTCAACAGTAGGATATCAACACTGGCCCCTAATTTGCAACATTGAAAACTGTAAGAAAATTATGGAAGTCCTTTTATCATTTAGAATATTGGAGGTAGCTGGAACCCCCTAGCAACCCATCATACACTGACTTGGAACCAAGTTAAACCACGGACCACTTGACCGCCAAGCTAAGTTTGGAAGTCTGAATATATATGCTGAACCACTTCCTTCTGCATTCCCATTATGTGTGTCTATTGACAATAATGAAATTTATTCAAATAAATTCAACACAGCTAGCCACTGTGGGCTAGATGAAGCCAGTAAAATCATTTTGAAGTACTAGTTGATGTAACATTATGTTACACTGGCAACCAGACAATTTGTCCTTGAACTCTACATTAGTCTCTGACTGGAAGATATGTTCAGTGCTGAAATCCAAACAAAATCCATACAAAATTCAAGAATTCATGTTTATAATTTCCAACAGCTGATAGAAAAAGTTATTTGTTAGAAGAAGCTTTAGCATTATCCCTCCTCACGATGAGGCAAATTGCCATTGAAGTATTGATGATACAAGATAGAGTAATGGCGTCAGTGGAGAATCCCAGGCACCCAGCCCAAACTACCCCCATTCTTGGCAGCTGATAGGGCCATATTCTTCATGTTAGTCTGTGATCCCCACGTCAACCTGTTGACTTCACTCCAATCAGTGAATGAGATTGTAATTCAATTCTCTTGGCAGCTCAGTCATGCTTAGCCCTGATTAAGCACTGTGGCACTTTATGACTCAAGACTGTGCACAAATCAAATGAATCAATTTCCATCATATTTCATTATTTGCTAACACTTCAGCACACTTCCTCACAGTCTAAACATAAGAAGCATGGTTTCAAAGGATGAAATTCAATTTTAGCATGTTTACCAATTACGTGAGGGAAGCAAGTTAGTGAATATTATGTCATAAAAACAAAGTAAAAAGCTGCCAAATACAGTTTTACACAGTGTGTATACAAATCAAACATTTCAGCACTGGCATCAGTAATAGAAATGTGATACATACTTCAAGGAGAAAAATGACTTTTATGTCTTCTTGCAGCCTTTGCTCAACTAAATCTGAGCCAGAGGAGGCAATAAGACTAAGTTATAATGACATTAGCAGTCTGATAGAAAGTTACACATTATTACCAGAATTTAGAACATCAGATCAATACCATAAGCCAGCACTGACAACATGCTTTATGTCATAAAGGACAATAAGCTTAAGTCAAAAACAGATCCTGTTTAACATCTGTCTTCTGGATGATTCTAAAACATCAGTACCATTAACTCAGCAAGAAATTTGTCCTCAGGGTGTAGTCAGTAATGATGGAAGTATCATCTTGAAACAATGACATAGATCTGCAGCAGCTTTAATATGAAATTTGTAATCATGTGGGCTTTCTTCATTTGTGGTCTGAGAGAGTTATCAGCGCAGTTCGAACTCTAGACAACTTGTCCTCATTTGGAGATCATTACAGAACATAATTACCTCGACAATGGCTAACTGAGTTGCAGCCCGACATTTGTTGCAGCAGTTCTTCCAGCTACAGTAAGACTGTGGGGAATTGAAGTCTGGTCATCAGACACCCATATTGATCAAACAGTAACATCGTATGTCATGCTGCAATGGCCTTTGACTCATTATTCTTATCGCTATGTATGTCACATGTTTACAAGCAAAAATAGTTTTGCAATATTTCAACGTAGATAGTGCTTTAAGGAAAGAATAACAATTTACTGCTGAGTCTCTAGGCAATGAGCACCTAATGAAGGAACCAGCCCAGACATACATCTTACTTGTTCATGATAATTGAATGACACTAACAGTTTTCTCCTCGTCTACAGTGGTCACGGCAACAGTTGTACATTATTACCATCCTATTACTTAATATGAGAGAGAGATTGGAAATCTTGCAATGACATCATTATGATCTGACTGATAGAACTCTGAGAAGCAATATAATCAAGATAATGGAAGGAATTGTGTGACATGTCATCCATTACATGCCCTGCTGGGGCTCCGTAGAGACCCATCACACTCTTGCTGCTTAGTCAAGGTTAACATGGACAGGGCTTTACCTGGATCCATTATTCTGACTTCAGAGGATATTCAGTAATTACGATTTGGGGGTCCCAGGTTCATGACTTGTGTAGTGCTTCGATTTGATCTCCCTGAATATTAACAATGTCATTTTATTGCACATACTCACTTCCTACTGGAGAAAATCAGCTGTTGAATGTTGAGTCCAACTATCACGAGAATAGTAATGTTTATTGTATGTAATCTGCAATTTTGATAAGTTTTAATGATTCAAACAACCATACTTTCACATCTTCTGACTTGCTGCTGAAATTATTTACATCAATCTCAACATGTACATATATAGGATATTTGTTTCATCCAATAAAACCATGTATGGAACTACATCCACATTTCACATGCAAGCCAGTGGGTCATTTCCATGGCAGCACTAATGTGAAACAGTAAGGACCTATGGGTAGCTTTCATTCAGGTGCTAGAGGAACAAACTTCCTCATAAACATAGAAACAAAATTAATCATCATTGCCATTACAAAATATATAAAATATGTAACCACACATGTACAAGACAGAAATACCCAAGTTGGCAATATGACACATTGCGAAAGTTCTGGTCATCTCGCAGTGGTTGAGAGCAAATGACGGCTGTCCATTATTATTTTCAAATGTGTGTTTATACTAATATCAATGCTTCACCAAATGTTCCTAACCAAACAAAAACAGAATACTATTTTATGACACTAGTCTTTTGCTTGATTATATTGAATGAAGCAATCAGTAAGCGACAGATTTACAAGAAGGAACTTCAACAAACTAAAGGTGATGATGATACAGCCAAATCCCATAAAGGAACATGCCCTTGTGGCACACTGGTACGGGTGTCCGTCCTAGCCTGTGCCTTTGTTACAGATTAAACAGCTGCCACTGCGTGTCTAGCTTAGCTTACATGATAGCGCCTGTGGTGTACTTTACTTTGTACAGTGTTCAGAGTATCAGTGGGACTTTGCACATTATGATCAATTTCCTTCAATACAATTTCTAAGAAAGTGATTACAAGGCAGTTCAGGAGAGGCAGAGTTTGATTCAGACAAACACTTTATGTCCATTTATTAACGGAACAAGCAGATCTCAGTCCTTGAAATACATAAACCAGTTTTTGACCTGTATGAGCAACCAGCAAAGTCTGTGTGTGACCCACATGAGCAAGGTGAGACACTGTGACCATCACACCCTCATTGCAGTCACGGACACTGGAGGCCCTTCCTGTCTGGGGACACTTACAAAGGCCTGTCCTTGTCAAATGCCTTGTCAAGGAACACACAAATTAAGCCTCTTTCTTAGTGTTGAGAATTTTATAACTTCTTTTTAATTTACTTCAGAGCCAACAGACATGATGGATAGGTATGCTGAAAACTACTTTGGAAGAACAACTGAAAGCGAGACTGCATTGTAAGGTAATTACAAGTTTATAAAAACAATGTTCAGCCAGGGGTCCTTGAGGTTTGTGTCCATAGTATTTGACATTTATGCATTATACTATCATAGATTCCCTATCATTAATGTGCCATGTCAATATGGGAAGATGGACAGGAAAACTTACAGGTAAATCTACCTGGCTTGCTGATATATACAAAGCACTGTTCCATCACCCAAGTACCTGTTCAGTAATCTCTGACATGCACTGAGTCTATAATATTGCCAGAGCTTGACATGGTGCTTATGATATAACTTATCTACGGAGCTACATTCCAATCTATTACAGACGTCAGACTCACCTGTCACCTGCCGTGCCTCAGCAAGGAACACGGACTCATCATAGTGTAATGGTGTTTGGAGATAACAAGCAGATAATGACGTATGTCAGGCTTGTCTGTTGGAGGAATTAACATCTTAATGTGCAACCATTTGCCAAAATATGTTATCTGTTTTCTTTTGTGGGATTGCGAAACTTTCTTCTGAGGGCACACATCACACTCATTAAATATATTTCCCATCAAAAGTTTAGACTCACTAGTGTAAATATAGCCACTTACTTCAGGCAACTGTTCCAAACTAAATTTGCTAAATATTCCATACTGTTTAAAGGTACTGTTTACACATGAACTGATGTATTGTAAAACAAATTTGTAACATTGAAAAGATTATTGTCATGAGTTCAATAAATGATAAAGATCAGTGAAAATTGGCGAATTCTTATCCAAACTTTACACCAAAACGCAGCTGATCACATGCACGATATTTGCACATGCTTTTCAGCAATTTGATGCATGATCCCCGTGCAATTCATCTGTATAAGTTCTGCAGTTGGTTCCCCCAGGTTAGTGGAGAAATCAATTTTTGATGTAACCATATGTATATATATACATACCATATAGTGAGTGTTTAAGTGAGTCTAAACTTTTGATGGAAAGTATACATACAGAAGACTATGTTTATAATGAACACAGGGTTTAATGAACAAGCAGATATATATAAGGAATTGGTTTTTGGGCCCGACCACTTGCATATTTTAGGTAAAATGCTTACAATGAGAATTACTCCATATTGTCCAAGAACAAGGACATCGAGCCAGTCAGGTCCTAGCTGACAGACAGGTGAGGTGAGGTGAGGTGAGGTGAGGTGAGGTGAGGTGAGGTGAGGTGAGGTGAGGTGAGGTGAGGTGAGGTGAGGTGAGGTGAGGTGAGGTGAAATTGGGTTTAACGTCGTGCTTGAGAATATTTCGCTCATATGACGACGCGCATGCATGTGTATGTGTATGTGCGGCTGCTTGTACTAGCACAGACTTAAGCTGGTTTTATAGAGCTAGCCCATTGAGATACAATGCCGCAGTGAAGCATGAATACCCCACTCAGACACATTATACTGCGAGCCGACCAGTCCTTGTTGTACCAATTAATGCCGTGTGCCAGGCATGAACCAACAAGTACCATATTTTAACGTCTTTTGGTATGATGCGGTCGGGGATCGAACCCGCGACCTTCCGCTCTCCGGGCGGACGCTCTAATCACTACACCACGGAGGCGGTCCTGACAGCCAGTCCCTTGACAACAACAAGCAGGGACACAGAATGATCACATGGAAAGAGTTCAGTCCTGGAATCCTGACAGAGTTAACTGCAATTCTGTTTAAACCAAACTCTGAAGTATTCCAGCTATAAAATGGTGGCCTGTAAATAATTGAGACTGAAACATTGAGGAAATCCAGTGATCGAATTGTCTGTATGTGGTGACACATCACTAACCAAGTCACCTGACCTGACCACCCAATCCGCAGGGTCACCTCTAAGTCTTATAATCACCTGTGTTTGCTGGGACCAATTCTCACAATAATTCCACTGGGTTATTCATTTTCTTTGAGATGGAACAAATGTCCTCAGCAGGAAAAAGTTCATGGGTGTAATGGTTTCAAATCTGAGTAGGACTACACTGATGTTCATACAGTACTCTGGAAAAAGGTACACATAAATACCAAAAAATACTTACAACAAATTTTTCTCCATCTTTTTCTACTGTGTGATAGTCTGGTATTGAAATAGGGAGAGATCGTCGCTCTGAGTAGTCAATGTAAGATGGCCTGAAGAGTCATCACTTGGCTCCAGTTTCTCAGCCACCTGCTCCGGCACCGATATCACTAGAACAAACACATATACCATACACAAAACATGCTCATGTGATCAGGTAACACTTATTACTTAATGACGATCAGGTAACACTTACTACTTAATGACGATCAGGTAACACTTACTACTTAATGACGATCACTTACTCCAGCACTTTCTTAATGGTAACACTTACTACTTAATGACGATCAGGTAACACTTACTACTTAATGACGATCAGGTAACACTTACTACTTAATGACGATCAGGTAACACTTACTACTTAATGACCATCAGGTAACACTTACTACTTAATGACCATCAGGTAACACTTACTACTTAATGACCATCAGGTATCAGGTAACACTTACTACTTAATGACCATCAGGTAACACTTACTACTTAATGACCATCAGGTAACACTTACTACTTAATGACCATCAGGTAACACTTACTACTTAATGACCATCAGGTAACACTTACTACTTAATGACCATCAGGTAACACTTACTACTTAATGACCATCAGGTAACACTTACTACTTAATGACCATCAGGTAACACTTACTACTTAATGACGATCAGGTAATACTTACGTAATACTCACCTTCACAAACACATGCTCTAAAATGTTACAAATCACTAGGGGTCTTGGTGTCCAAGAGGTTGTCTACATAATCATACATTCTTAATTCTATTCAAGAACATAATTGTAAAACATAATGTTGTCCCAGTCTAGCTTGTGTGAAGTTAACTCAGACTTTGATATGTGACTTAATGATCTTGTAAATAAAGAAACAGTTTATTAAAGGAAACAATGTCACTAATGGTCCACTGGGTGATCAAGAAAGATACTATGGCAGCCCAAAACATTTGAATGTAGTCCTGAATAGAGAAACTGTCCCCTATCACCACATACCCAGTTTTCAAACAAATTGCTCATTTTATTTGAAGTTTGAAGTAAATGAATAGTCCATCAATTTAATCACCATAGACAACTATCCTGGCTTAGTTTCCAACATCACACACTGATCGTGATGTTTAGAGGCACAGGTCATTGGTCTACCATTTGGACTGTACACTAAATGAACAGATGTAATAAGACTAACAGGAATCTGAAGCAATATCACAAGGTAAATCAGTGATTATCAATGACTATTATTTGATAGTATACATGACCACCTTGTACAGCAATTTTAATCAAGAATGTCAATATTTTTCAAACATATTTCCCAAAATATGTTTAACTTATAGTCTGTTTGCAGTGAAAATGTACCGATGAATTTCACTTAAAACAAAAAAGTAAATCAAATTAAATGAAATTATGATTGCGAATCCTCATAATTTTACCTTGCCAATTGAACATTTAAATCTCAGAATTTTATTCCACTTAGGATAAAAGTTGTTGAGCAAACAATCATAGATTCAAATCGCTATTATTGGTTTGTATTACAAGGGGTATGCACATTAAATGAAACACCGAGAACAAGTAGGGTTGGTCTGAGTTTATGCTCATCATGTACCGCACATGCATTTGTTTCACTGTTCTGTTTACTGCGCTCACCCCCTTGTAATACATGAAGATTCACAATCATAATTTCACTTAATTTGATTTACTTTTTTGTTTAAAGTGAAATTCATCAGTACATTTTCACTGCAAACAGACTATAACTTCATTAGTGGAAGTTTCTTTGTAAATATCATAATGACAACCAAATCAAACAGCTGGCATTTCTGAGACATAAATGATAAGATGATCATAAACTTCAAGCTTAATGTCAGAAAACATATTTTTATCAAATTCCATGACATAATATTATAGCTATTATCTAAAACATGTGTTTTGTATTATTTCCCAACAGATGCACCATGACAGGCAACCAGAAAATAGAGGCACAAAATAAACACATGCTGAAGTACCTCTACACACAGGATCAGAACACAAGGATATTGTGAATTAATAACATAAATTTCTTTCCAAAGTCCACTTCATTGAAATTTTCAAGCTTCAGTAAGTTCTAATCAAAGGCACAAAAGAAATTAATTAATGAAACAAAAATAGTTTGATCAAGTTGTGTTTGATTTATTTGATCATGTAACAGACATGACAGAAAGAAATTAGTGGTCACAAATACTGAGCATTCCTGCAGCAAAACATGGGTGAAAGTCACCACCAAAACCTCCAGATGCTTGTGTACAAATCCACTTCAAAGTTAACAAGAAGACAAAGTCATCAATATCCCCCGCAATGGCAAAATACTCTTCATGATTATATCTACGAGTTATGATTATGTCAAATATTTAGGTGTGTATATAGAAAAGTGGAAGGAGAGTATTGAAAGGTTTTTAAATTTCTGCTCAAGAAAGGAGCACTATCACCAATTTCAGTCTATGTCAAACTTGTTGCCATGGAAATGCCAAAAATATTTTATTCAGAATTCCAAAACTACCAAAAGGCACCAGTACACCACCAGATCTATGTATGTGCCAAGTTTGGTGAAGAAACATTGAACGGTTTTAGAGTTCTCCTCCGGAAAAGTGTACTACCACTAATTTCTGTTTTAGTCAAACTTGTTGCCATGGAAATGCCAAACATATTTTATTCAGAATTCCAAAACTACCAAAAAGGCACCAGTACACCACCAGACCAATCTATGTGTCAAGTTTGGTGAAGAAATAGTGAACGGTTTTAGAGTTCTGCTCCGGAAAAGAGCACTACCACTAATTTCAGTCTAAGTCGAACTTGTTGCCATGGAAACGCCAAAAATGTTTTATTCAGAATTCCAAAACTACCAAAAGGCACCAGTACACCACCAGATCTATCTATGTGCCAAGTTTGGTGAAGAAATATTTAACGGTTTTAGTTTTAGAGTTCTGCTCGCCAAAAATATTTTATTCAGAATTCCAAAAAAAAGACAAATGTGCACGGACGCATCTGATCGGAGTCCATTTTATACCTGCAAACGCAAAAGTCCATTTTAATTCGCGTTGCGGGGGATAAAAAGTCAAATAAACAACACTTTATGGAATTTCCCAATGCATCCTTCTTAACTAGGGACTGTAGTTCTTTCAAGATGGTTTTTCATTGACGGCTCACACACAGACTTGGGTTACTTTGTTACTTCACACAACTGAATAATGAATTTTAGTCCCAAATATTGTAAAGTAAAACAGAGCATTTATTTCAGGTGCAAAATACCTCAAGAACACTATCAATACCCACTTTGAACAACCCATGAAGGTCCGGGTTAGAATGAACCTTCAGTATCCATGCTTGTCATATGAGGCGACTAACGGGATTGGGTGGTCAGGCTCGCTGGCTTGGTTGACACATGTCATCAGTTCCCAATTGCGCAGATCGATGCTCATGCTTTTGATCACTGGATTGTCTGGTTCCGACTTGATTATTTACAGACTGCCTCCATATAGCTGGAATATTGCTGAGTGCGGCGTAAAACTAAACTCACTCATTCACTTGGAACAATATTTTGTGAGTGAATACTCAACAGCTTATAAACATTAAGTGCCATACCGTGACTACACATGGATGGGTGATCTCAGATAAGGGATAAAAATCAACATTTTGAAATTTTCTAACAGATCCAAAGGTAGCTACTAACTTGAACACTGAACAAGATAAATATCCTCAAATAATTTCCAATAGATTATCATATTACTCATAATTGATCAGTTTCAACCAAAGCTGACATTTAAGTTGTAGCTATGCCGTCACAACGATAATATACTCTTAAGAAAAAGTAGGGGAACTTTACTTTTAATTTACAATTGAAAAATTTGGGAGATATATCAGGTTCAATCAAAGTTGATATGATAAGAATGAATGTTTTGAAAGTGCATCACCACTTGTGCTTCCTTATGACCATAGTTGTTTGTACAACAATCCGTCACAACTAATCGCTCCTGAAAGATGATTGGTGTATGGCATGAAATTTGCATGTGTATGATTTCCATGATCAAACAAACAACAAAATGGCTCGAAACAAACACTAACAACTGTGTGATGCAAGATGATTGTCAAAATTAATGGTCTGAAGTGACTTATCGACCTTGAAAACCGTCAAAATCAAGAATGCAAGTGTATGGGGCTACTGCGCTGTGTAAGTGCATCCCATGCGTTGTGTTTAGGGGTGGTGATAAAGAGAACTGGTGGTGAGTTCATAAGATGTCTGTGATTGAAAAGCTTGTTAACGCTTATACTTCCTATCAGTTCAGATTCCCTTACTTTTTTGCATAGTAACATAATAATTTATCATTTTTCACTAGTGGCCTTGAAGTATAGAATTAAACAAACAATAACTTGCGAAAAGTACTCCCAACAGCCTTAAATCAAATATACCATGGATTTATCTAATTACAACATGTGGTTGACTGCAATTGTCAAGTGCTTTCCTTGGAGCTGCATAGTAATTTAATTCCTTTCCAACCTGATTCAGTGTCTTTGCATGTGGTTACAGAAGGTGAAGTGTTCTTGCAGGGATATAAACTGATTAAAATGCCAGCACAGCAGTCACCAAAAGTTGAATTAAATTTGAAAGAAACTAACTAAATCATGAAAATCAAAATGACTTCACCTTTAATTACTGAGGTGACTAATTTTGATGTGACATTTGGATGTTACAAACCAAAATAATAGCTGTTGACAAAGAGTGAAATATTCAAAATGTTTGTCAATATAGATAATGTAGATCAGATCTCAGGACAAAGGAAACATCAACATTGTTCTGCCATGACGGCAATCTTGTTGCAAGCAACACAGACGTGGAGATGTTGACTTGTACAAGGAAAACCTGTAGCAGTTAAACTCAATATGGGACTGGCAATCAATAAATACCATGTGCGTAATCCAAAAACCATCTAGTTCTGAGCAATTTGCTAGCTGGAAACAACAGGTTGATTGCAGCTCAATTAAGGAGACCAGGGATTTGGCCATATACAATGATTTTGTCAGAGATAAATGGGGGCAGGACATTTTCATCTTTTCATCAACTTGGAAACAACTTTCTTCAGTGTCCTAATGGAATTCGAAAAATATATTTGAAACATATTTTGGATCACAAACAATAAACTTCCTGGAAACCATCCAATCTAAAGCCCTGATTCTACAGAATACTTTCCTCGATGATAACACCTGTTAATTCCTTTAATAAATAATGATAACTAAACATCAAGGCAACCAGTATGTACTAGCATGTTTCTTTAGTTCTTGATGCTGCACCACATTCTTCAACATATTCTTCCAACTGTATCATGTTATAACATTCTGCACCAGGTTCCACCACACATTCTTCCTGCTGTACCATGTTCTACCACACATTCTTCTTGCCGCGTTCCACACACTTCCTCCTCACACACTTCCTCCTCGTGTACAATGTCCTGCCACACAGTCTTCCTCCTCCTGTACCAGGTTCTTCCATACATTCCTCCTCTTGTGCAATGTTCTTCCATACATTCCTCCTCCTGTACCATGTCCTTCCATACATTCCTCCTCCTGTACCATGTTCTACCACACATTCCTCCTCCTGTACCAAGTTCTTCCACACATTCCTCCTCCTGTACCATGTTCTTCTGCACATTCTTCCTCCTGTACCATGTTCTTCCACACATTCTTCCTCCTGTACCAGGTTCTACCACACATTCTTCCTCCTGTACCATGTTCTTCTGCACATTCTTCCTCCTGTACCATGTTCTACCACACATTCCTCCTCCTGTACCAAGTTCTTCCACACATTCCTCCTCCTGTACCATGTTCTTCTTCTCCTCCACATTCTTCCTCCTGTACCATGTTCCTCCACACATTCATCTTCCTGTACTGTACCATGTTCTTCCTCCTGTACACATTCTTCCTCCTGTACCATTCTTCTTCTGCACATTCTTCCCTGTACCATGTTCTTCTGCACATTCTTCCTCCTGTACCATGTTCTACCACACATTCCTCCTCCTGTACCATGTTCTTCCACACATTCTTCCTCCTGTACCATGTTCTTCTGCACATTCTTCCTCCTGTACCATGTTCTTCCACACATTCATCTTCCTGTACCATGTTCTTCCACACATTCTTCCTCCTGTACCATCTTCTTCTGCACATTCTTCCTCCTGTAACATGTTCTTCCACACATTCCTCCTCCTGTAACATGTTCTACCACACATTCTTCCTCCTGTACTAAGTCCTTCCACACATTCCTCCTCCTGTATAATGTTCCTTTACACATTCTTTCACCTGTACCATGTTCTTCCACACATTCGTCCTCCTATACCATGTTCTTCCACACATTCCTCCTCCTGTGGCATATCTACCATGCTTCCTTCCTCCTGTACCATGTTCTACCACATGTTCTTCCTTTTGTACCATATTCTATCAAACATTCTTTCTTTTCTAACATATTGAACCAATCTTGGCATAAGTAAAAACAGAAACAAATACAAAGGAATGTTCAAAATTAGGATATATTCAAAGAAATGCATATCTCTCTTTTTTCTGCATTCACCAGTCTACTGGAACCACTTGTCTTGCCTTCATGACATTGGAATGGTTGAATGGATTAACCTCTGTTGTTTTTAACTTTCCACAGAATGATTCAAAGGTGTGCAAGGGCTGATATTGGCTGGGCTCTTAAAAGTCCTTTGAACAGATTTGAAGGACACCATGTATCTATGGTCGGATGAAGTTCCAGAGTGAGTGAGAGAGTTTAGTTTTACGCCGCTTTTAGCAATATTCCACCAATATCACGGCAGGGGACACCAGAAATGGGCTTCACACATTGTACCCATGTGGGGAATCGAACCCGAGTCTTCAGTGTGACGAGCAAACGCTTTAACCATTAGGCTACCCCACCGCCCCAAGGAGGTTGAGTCCAGGTACCTTTGGTCAACATGGTCAATAGACACATGGACTCCCAATTCATCAGTTAGAACATCTCTATCATCAGGATGCCTTAAGATGATTGATACTGTTTTGTCTAAACAAACATAATGACAAAGCCAAAAGCTTCTTTAGACTGACATGACTGTGATAATACCCAACATCACCCTAAGTGATACAATAGGAACAAGACAAAAGAAGCATACTACATCGATAGTCAGTCATTAGCTATTTCTGTTGATGATGATCGATACTGATTTTGAAGTTATTTCCAACACAACCTGTCTGTAATTAGGACTGGATTACATGGTCTAGACAATACTCCCGAAACAGTGCAAGCTTCAAACCAGTGTTCTCATGGCTATCATGGTAGAATATGTACAAGAACCCTATCAGATCATAGTGAGAACTGTCATCCTACAGTCCTACATCCTACTAATGTCTGTCACTCTCAGTAGTCATTATGACCATCAGATCCCCATATCTGTATCTCCTCACAAGACAGGAAACATGGAAGAAGCTGACCTGTTTATATCACATGCTGACAAATTTCAATCACTTATCACATTCTGTGCCAAAGATGTTTAAATACACTAGCTTTATACGTGACATGTAGCATAAGTCTAAGTATATTTTAATGCTATTATAGAATATTTTCTGACCCCACTGGACCAAAAACAACATTTTACGAGAATTAGTGACTAAATTTGCAGACAGTATGATAGTGAAAACCCTTCCCAATTAGGCAATTTTACTGGCTTTAAATGGACATCTAAGATACCATATCACTGAAATAATGGATTTTGGTATGATTGGGATATATTCAGTCATATCAATCTGAAATCATCAAAATGAAGAGTATCTTTAGTATTCTTTATATTTTATCTTTACGCAAAACAACATTTAGTAAATCTTAGAGTAAGGGTCTTCAAACTAGAGCTTGAAGGCTGTTCTACTTTAATATACCAGCTGTAGTCTTGACCAAGAAGACCATTGTTCATACAATAAGCAGCAGCAGACGTTTCATTGGGGTTGTTTTGTTAGTTTGTTGTTTAACTCTGCACTCTGCAATATGCCCACTATATGGTTGCAGTCTGTAAACAATCAAATCTGGACCAGACAATCCAGTGATCAACATCATGAGCATCAATCAGCGCAGTTGGGATATGACGCAATGTGGCAACCAAATCAGTAAGTCTGATCACCCGATCTTGTTAGTTGCCTCTTCTGGGAAGCATAGGTTTACTGTAGACCAGTTCTAACCCAGATCTTCAAGGGTGAAGGGTGTCAACATAGCTTTACGGTAGTACATCCGCTCACCTGTCAGTGTTAGACGATCCCCTCCAGATCGTATCAAATCAACCACTTGCTTGTGGGTGGAGCCTTCTACATTCACATTGTTCCTGAAACAAGAAAACAGGGCAATATGAAACAATGAAACAACCACTTGGGGTACTGCAGACATACATTACAGTCCATTTGTATCCAAATGAGAATGACCGGAGAGCGGAAGGTCGCGGGTTCGATCCCCGACCGCATCATACCAAAAGACGTTAAAATGTGGTACTTGTTGGTCCCTGCCTGGCTCTCGGCATTAATGGGTACAACAAGGACTGGTCGGCTCGGAGTCAGTATAATGTGTCTGAGTGGGGTATTCATCCTTCACTGCGGCATGGTATTTCAGTGGGCTAGCACTATAAAACCAGCTTCAGTCTGGGTTAGTACAACCAGCCGCACATACACATACACACACATGCACGTCGTCATATGAGCAAAATATTCTCAAGTACGATGTAAAACTCAATTTCACCTCACCTCACCCAAATGAGAATGATGAGTTGCAATATAATTTAAACTATCCTGATTACAAGTAAATATGGTACATGGTGAAAAAAATACCCTGTGCCCAACAACATCTGCTGTTTGTTATTTAACACCCGAGAAACTGCCACATTGTTATGTGTACAAGTTGACATGTTTCATGGAGGGAGCAGTGCATGATGACTGCTAACATGTACTGCACGTGCTGCATAGAATACTTCACTGACAAGATGTGCTTCTCCGCTGATGGGAAACAGAACTTTGAAGGTGTATGATTTTTTTCAGTGTGAGTGAGTGAGTTTAGTTTTAAGCCGTTTTTAGCAATATTCCAGCAATATCACGACGGGGAACACCAGAAATGGGCTTTACACATTGTAGTTTGTACCCATGTGGGGAATCAAACCTGGGTCTTTGTCGTGATGAGCAAACGCTTTAACCACTAGGCTACCCACCGCCCTTCTTTCAATGTGAAGCAGAAAGAAGAAAAACCATTTAATGCCATAAATAATTACTTGAAACAAACTTCTAAAGCTAATGGTATGTCTCCTATTTAGTTAAATACTGTTGTCCACAAAACACCTGCTGCCAATGAATCTGGTTAAGAAATATTTCAATTTGATTTTTGTCAGCACTTTGACTGCAGTCAGCAATATTCTAGCAGCGTCAAGAATCTGTAAATAATCCTGTACGGACCAGACAAACCAATGATTGATATTATGATCAATGGGGTGAGGTGAGGTGAGGTGAAATTGGGTTTTACATTGTGCTTGAGAATATTTCGCTCATATGACGACGTGCATGCGTGTGTATGTGTATGTGCGGCTGCTTGTACTAGCCCAGACTTAAGCTGGTTTTATAGTGCTAGCCCACTGAGATACCATGCCACAGTGAAGCATGAATACCCCACTCAGACACATTATACTGACTCCGAGCCATCCAGTCCTTGTTGTACCCATTAATGCCAGACTGCCTCCGTGGTGTAGTGGTTAGAGCGTCCGCCTGGAGAGCGGAAGGTCGCGGGTTCGATCCCCGACCGCGTCATACCAAAATACGTTAAAATGTGGTACTTGTTGGTCCCTGCCTGGCGCTCGGCATTAATGGGTACAACAAGGACTGGTCGGCTCGGAGTCAGTATAATGTGTCTGAGTGGGGTATTCATGCTTCACTGCGGCATGGTATCTCAGTGAGCTAGCACTATAAAACCAGCTTCAGTCTGGGCTAGTACAAGCAGCCGAACATACACATACACACGCATGCACGTCGTCATATGAGCGAAATATTCTCAAGCACAACGTTAAACCCAATTTCACCTCACCTCACCCCCAAGCGCCAGGCAGGGACCAACAAGTACCATATTTTAACGTCTTTTGGTATGACTGCAAGCAGCAACTGATCCTGACCATCCAATCCATTCATATGTCTGCCACAACAAGAGTAAGGTTCAGGGCTCGATTTAAGAGATGTTACCCTACTTGCACCAGGTGCAACCTGAGATAAAAACCTAGTTGCACAAGCCAAATTCCAGTTGCACTGTTTTTATGGTAATATGTAATGAATGGAATATGCTATTGAATTATTTAGATGTTTTATTCAGAAGATTACCCACTCAAAAATTGACCTGCACCTGGTGCAAGTTAGACTAATAACTACGTTGCACTTTGTAATATTGGCTAGCATCAGTGCAAGTAACAAAGCACTAAATCGAGCCCTGAAGGTTACTGGTAACTTTTTCACCCAAATAGCCTAGAGGGCCGCATTAAGTGGATTTACATCAGTTATTACTATTACACTATCAAAAATAATCCAATACATTGAAAAACATTGATACATGAGAAGTAAACCTGTCAAAATATATTGCAATACCTATAGAAAAAACAATGTGACACTTCGTCCGTCTGCTGCAAAGCCCTGAAGACCAACTGCCAGAAAAACCTTGTCTTTCAGCAAAACTTCCAGTCATTAACATACAGATACTTTAGGGCTGAACTTCATGCACATGTTGTACAGGTCCTTTATTCTCAAAGGTTCGTAGCTCTAAGAATTCTTAACTTTGATCGTAGCCAATGTGTTAAGAATGGGCTTAAGAAGTTCTTAGGGCTACAGAATGTTTCGAGAATAGCTAGCCTGGACTTACACAAGTCTGCACAGCAATTATCATTAGTTATTAAGAATAATTCAGGGATTTTATCAGCAAAGACCAGCAGCTGTACTGGTCGTCTATCTATCTTAAGGACAGAGATACTCTACTATAATTTAGTTCAGCCTTGGACCTGGAGCAAAGCCAATGATGTTGTTAAAAACGAGGCATTGGGGGATGGGAGCTGGATGTTAGGGGTTGAGATCCCTGCTCTGGTATAGTATTAAGGAGCTCAGCTAAATTCTGAACTGGTGACTTCAGAGCTTTGACGAAGATCCCTTGACCTTGGAATTTGGACAGTGCTGTAATTTAGCAGAGAAATATTACTCAATACTAGATTCAGTACTTGATGATGGACTGGTGGCTCAAGTCGTCAGTAGATCCCACTGTAATACATAGATGCTATGCTCACTTGTGTCACTGCAGATGTTGGGGTGTTTCTGTTTTCTGCTATGTGGACTGACTGACTGACTGAGTTTGGTTTTACACCGCTTTTAGCAATAATCCAGCAACATCACGGCAGGGGACACCAGAAATGGGCTTCACACATTGTACCCATGTGGGGATTCGAACCCGGGTCTTCGGCGTGACGAGCCAACGCTTTAACCACTAGGCTACCCCAACGCCCCTCTGCTATGTGGAGTATTTGGACCTAGAGACATTAGGTATCATTAGACAATCTAGGGACATTAGACAAAAAATAAATACAAACCGTATTCACATTCTAAAGTGAGTGTGAAAATGGTTTCATTCCATTTTCGCAAAATACACATTCATGGTTCACCTTGATTTTATCATTGTTCATATCATTATAGTCACATATTCCACAAATGTGATGAATGAGTTGATGTGGACACCAGCTGCTTTATCAGTCTGGGCAAAATATACATCTTCTAGCGTAGAAATCCACAAAGTGATCCTAAAATAGCTGATTATACATCCCATACTTTAACACTGGGTTACAATAATCTGAGCACTAAGCACTAAGTCTTTTATGCACAATGAGTGGATGGCAGGTAGCACTACTAGCAGAGCTGCACATGCTTACCCTTTTAATGAACATGATGAATGCCTTGTGTCACGGTTTTCCCAGTAAGCAACTTATATATATATATACATAACTATTTTGCTAGTAATGCCTAATGGAATCTGTTTAAGCCATTGAGATTGATTATTTTCTTGCGTTAATGTATACATTTAGACAGAAAATATTACGCTGTATGGCGTTGATGTTTATTCTTTGACAGCAGATATTTTACTACTTAAAGAGCTGTGATAAGCTTTGCTCTCTAGAAACATTACCAGACTCAGGCAATAATGATCTGCATATGAGCACATAAATATCCAGCCTCTAGTTTAGGATAGGTTTAAGAAACCAAACAATATACAAACAATATACTGATGAAGTATACATGGCACTTGTAGGTTATTCATAATAAATAGCTTGGCCACACTGGAAAAAACAATATCAGAAACAGTATAACTGTTAAGACATTTCCCTGTTTACTTTTAATCTAAGGCTGAGGAATACAAGTGACATACATTCCTACACCACCAAACAAAGCAGGGTGGAAATAACCCATTGCCCGACGCCCCAGTCCAGTGTTTTTCTGTCGGGCTAGCAAATTTGTATGTCACTGCTGTACCGGTGTCCAGTTGACTTTCCAATGTTAATCATGTTGTTTATTTAAAAAATCAACAAGAAAATTGGCCGGTATAGTGGAAGAATTATCAGGGCAAGTGATTTTACATGTGCCACTGTACCGGAGTACACTAGTAATTTTAAAGTTATTTCCACCCCTGCAAAGATTTTGTGACAAACTTTCGGCAGAAATCCCTGAAGTTTGTAACATTTGTCATGTATTTTTTGGTTCAAGTCAATGACATGGTACTGCAATTTGAACTAAGGAAAAACCTGAAGAAATTTCGAAATAACACACTTTGGACTTTAGACACTGACTAATTTCAGTCTGGTAAGCCTAGCTATGGTAATAATAGTTCATATAGTAACACAACAATCAATTTAAAATGATGCTGAATGACCACCTTTGGACCTGGCACACATGAATCTGAACAGAACTGATGTACACATCATCTTTATGAAACAGTATCCTTCATCTTGTCTGACACTGTCCTCAAACCATCACTTCAGGTCATCATGTACAACCAGGAGAAATATCAAGGAGAGATAGAAGCATGTCAAGTTATAGTGTAGAAGTAGTGAAAGTAATGACAATACAGATGACAGCTGCTGCAGGTTGTACAGGCACACTCACTTAGTCACAAGCACTTTGCCTAAATTCAGCATGTTCAGTGCTGGAGATTATGAAGTTTGCCTACTGCCGTGACATCTGATCTAAAGATTTGGATTCTTTGTTACAGTGTGAACCAGCCACATCTTGTACTGTACAACGCTGTCACTATTGAGATGTCCAACAGGGTGAATTAACGATATCTGATATGTAGATTTGATAAATGATACTACAGTAAGAGCTCATGCTATACATAATGTCCATATAATGTCCATGTAGAGTCAAAATGCTCATAGTTCACATTATTATGCCTCAGGATCATAAATGAGCCACACACTAGTAATATTATGACCTGAGAGCTGATCATATGTCTTACTTTGATGACTTGACAAAAAATATTATTTGGAGTGATCTGGCGTGACCATAAGCATCATATTCATTATATTTAGTTATTACATGAACAGTGAGTAAGTGAGTGAGTATGATTTCACGCCACCTTTAGCAATATTCCAGCAATATCATGGCAGGGGACACCAGAAATGGGCTTCACACATTGTACCCATCTGGCAAATCGAACCCGGGTCTTCGATGTGATGATCGAACACTTTAAATTTAACTACTAGGCTACCCCACCAACCCAGTTATTACATGGAACAATATTAGCTTAATGTACTTGAGCAAGCATAACTTTACTTGGCTCATGGTTTTGCAGACTGCTACTCTAACATATTGAAGTTATCACTGAAAAATTCCACAATGTGTTTGGCATGCAGCAACCTGGAATGTGACAATAGGTGGGGTTATGATATCATATTACTCTGACATCACTTGTACACTACCTTTCTTAAGTTGATATTCTTTGTCTTTCCAGATGAATCATAACCCTAAATCATTTGGTTTTAATTTCAAAGACATGATATTATAAGGCAGAGCATGTATGCTAGAGGGCACTGTGAAATTATGCCATTTTCCTTGTCAATGAGAAAATATTTGAGAATCTGCATAAGCTAGTTGCAGACCCATTTTAGCTCATAACTTGCATGTATTGTGATACAGGGGTTGTAAATCTAAATGGATGTATTGTATGTATTGTGGCGCAGGGATTGGATATGGATGTATTGTGTCACAGAGTTGTAAATGGATGTATTGTGATACAGGGGTTGTAAATGGATGTATTGTGATACAGAGGTTGTAAATTGATGTATTGTGATACAGGGGTTGTAAATGGATGTATTGTGATACAGAGGTTGTAAATGAATGTATTGTGATACATGGGTTGTAAATGGATGTATTGTGATACAGGGGTTGTAAATGGATGTGAGTTTGGTTTTACAGTTTAGTTGTACCAGCAACATCAATGCATGGTGATACAGGGGTTGTAAATTCATGTATTGTGATACATTGGGTTGTAAATGTATGCTTTAACCATGGATGTATTGTGATACAAGGGTTGTAAATGGATGTATAATGATACAGGGGTTGTAAATGGATGTATTGTGATACAGGGTTTGTAAATGGATGTATTGTGATACACTCATTGTAGGGGTGTAAATGTATGTATTATTGTTTCAGGGTATGAAACTCCAAAATTTTCAGCTAGACCTCAAGGCTGGTTAGATGTAAAACTTGCTAGCCCTGACCAAAAAAACTGCCCATAACATGTCTAAATTTTAACCCGACCGAATGGCAGGTGAACTTTGTAGATGTTGAGGGGTTGTAAACTGACTGACTGACTGATTTGTTTTACGCTTTTAGCAATAGGTATTTCAAAATAGTGATTATATGCATTGTGACACAGGGGTTTGTGATACAGGGGTTGTAAATGAATGTATTGTGATACAGGGGTTGTAAATGAATGTATTGTGATACAGAGGTTGTAAATGTATTGTGATACAGGGGTTGTAAATGAATGTATTGTGATACAGGGGTTGTAAATGGATGTATTGTGATACAGAGGTTGTAAATGTATTGTGATACAGAGGTTGTAAATGTATGTATTGTGATACAGGGGTTGTAAATGGATGTATTGTGATACAGGGGTTGTAAATGAATGTATTGTGATACAGGGGTTGTAAATGGATGTATTGTGATACAGGGGTTGTAAATGAATGTATTGTGATACAGGGGTTGTAAATGAATGTATTGTGATACAGGGGTTGTAAATGAATGTATTGTGATACAGGTATATATCCATAACAGCAAAATAGAAGAAAGTCAATAACATCTTAATAGGTGTTAGAAGAAAATACAAACAAAGCACAATAATCATTAGGGATGCATTAGGCATGTATTGATTCACATAATAAATAACAGACATACAGACAAGTATGGTGTCATCAGCACGAATATGGAAATGAGGCCTAATAATAAGTAATTCTCTCTGTGTGTGTGTGTGTGTGTGTGTGTGTGTGTGTGCGTGTGTATGTGTGTGTAGGGATAGGGTGTACAATCTTATACCATCTATTACTTCAAATTAATAGTCAACAACAGCCTTGTTTCTACATTTATCATGTTTATAGCTATACATCTAAAGCCTGTTTCCCCAGTGTTTAGATATAAGAAGTTATATGTACTTTGCCTAATGTCAGTTCGGGGTGTTCTACCTGTGACGTCATGACAATCAAAATTGACATCCAACAGTCACCTGTCAGGATGGTATGATGGCCGACAGAAATCAACAGCTTTGTTATGCTGATGTTTCACATTACAGGTAAACATTCCTAATGTATATCTTTATCATTGCTAGCGTAACGTATCTAATACTTACAGTCAGGTCTGGCTCATCTGGACGCATGCATTTTCTCAAACATATTGTGCTGGTAAATGAATTTCCACATATCTGAATCCCTTAACAGTTATCTCCCCGTGCCAAATTCTACTGAGGCAAACAATATCATTACATTATAAACAGCATAATTACATCATGTCCCTTCACTGAAATCAGGATAACAAACATTGTGACATACTTGCCCAATAATTTTTTTTTTACATTTACTGGTCTATTGACCACCACATGTATTGCGTCGTCATAGCATTGTGACGTCATAAGCATTGTGACGTCACGGCCAGAGTTAACAGTTACTGTTCAGTTTTACCTGATGATGGGGCCAGAACAAGCCCTGAAACGTTGTACTCGAGAATAAAAAGAAGATGTAACCCAGAAAAAATCTCTATGTTCATAAAACTTCACTTGACACAATAATGTAATTTTTAGAGTGTATTTCATCGACCTTTGTTTGGTTTCAAGAGATTAAGATAATGATAGTATTTCCTTGTAGACTTAGCCACAAATCAGCTGTACACACCTTTTCTCCCAATTTACTACTGATACAATGAGAAATTACCAAATAATATAAGTTTATAACCCTGATTCAGTGGTTAGACTAAATTGAAACTGAAGCCATTACTATACATGGAACAATATGTTACAAAGTCGTGCTTGTTTAAGTAGCAATATTTACCATAGATTTCGGTAGGAACGTGTGTGTGTGTGTGTGTGTGTGTTATGTGTGTGTGCATACATGTGAGTGTTGTTTTGTGTGTCTGTGTGCATTGGCGCTCGCATGGATGTGTGTATGTCTATTGCTAGAAGGTGTGTAAAAATAGGATGAAGGTATTTTTCAATGTGCTTGTTGATTTATTCAGATATTCATGTCAAAGTCTCTCATGACCCTAAGGTAGCCTACACATTTTATCATCCAATGTCGAGACTGTAATAATCTCCCTCCCCTCTCATAACATAATGACCATGATCTCAGCACTGTGGAACAGCTGATTGCCAACCAAGTGATGAATGGCAAAACAAACATTGTCAAGTGTGGATGCCATCTGGTAAGTGGGACTTTGGCACTGTTGGTAAATGAAATTCACTATCCAGATCTGGATTTCTGGAAAAATGAAGTGGTTTAAGTAGCACAAATTTCATTCATGTAAATATCATCCAGTAGGCATGGTTTCCGGATATCAGGGATGTGTAACTGCAAGGTTCGACTCAACAAATGAAGTAATGTAAACTTATGTTGGTGAAGAACTAACTATGTTTCTGCAGAATCTACACTTTAGAGATGTTTTTCTCTAGTACTAAATTAAGCAATATATTTGCATGGCATATAGGACAGTGTGTGAAAGGCATTTCATTTCATGATACTATAATATACCATATGTTTGACATCAGTATAGTAACATATCATTATAATGCACATGCATGCACTGCCTATCAGTGTTCATAAATATTTTGCCAAATTTACTTATACTATTATCAGATTTTCATGTATAATAAGGACATTCAATCGTCAGCCTGGTACAATGGTTGACAAAAATCAACACCTTTCAGGTTACATGCAAATAAATAATTTTTGAAATGAATTTGTCATCAAAATACTTAACCAAGACAAATAGAAGCTTGACATTGTGACATACTTGCAAACATACCACTTTCAGACATTATGTACAAAGTTCTAAAGCCAGTGTCAGAAAGTGATTTTCTCCTGTTATTCTTTGATTATAGTACTATGGACACAACAGGACTTGTGTTGATTTCAGAGTATCCAAACCTTATTATCTAGATATGTTTCTAATCATCAGGATTATAGTAACATAAACAAAACATATGGTTCACTGGCTTTCATGGTGAAAGCAAACACTTTTCATAGAGAATAAGAAAAAGGTTCAGTTTACCCCAAGTGTGCACAAGAATCGTCTGTTTTCTACAGTGTCATACTGACACTACTGTACTTGGATGCAGTCATTTAAAATACCTTTATGACATTTACACTTAAAATAGTCAGGTTCCTTGCCTTAACAACACTTTCAACAAACGTAAATACCAGCATCAGCTGTCAAAATCTAGATCAACCATACCTGCATAATATTATCATTACAGTCACATCAGAACAACAACGCTGTCAACATACATAATGAGCCACATATTCAACTAATGTTGATAACAGAGGTGTTTAATGAGTAATAAACAACTAGAAAGTGACACTCACACTTCCAAGATGCGGTCTCCTTTGCGTATCCCAGCTTTCTGAGCTGCCCCTCCTTCCAAAACAGCACTCACATGTTGGAGGGGTGCATAAAGTACTCCGGCAATAGATTTCAACACCCCTCCCTCGCTAATTTGTCCTCTAACGTTAAAACCAAAGCCTGTTTCTGTCTTTGTAATATGTACTATTCGAGGACCGTAAACAACGGTTGCAATTGTATCGTCTGAAGGGGAGGGCAAGCTCCCCTCATCGCCACTGTCCGCCATCTTTGTCACGTGATTGATTGTGTACTTCCGGTTTAACTCCTGTCAAAACACAACATTGCAGGTCACTGGTATTATTTGACCTGCACGGCAACATCGCAGTCCTTGAATGTCATTGAATGATGGTCCCTGTCAGTAATTAATGTTTGAAGTGGATTTATTGCTAACGTCTACATCATCGACACTAAGAGCAATGGGAAAATAGCAGTTTACGCTATTTATAGTGGATTGCAGTATTGGCACAAGACAATGCCTCGTGTTGGTGATTTCTTGTTTGCCGTACAAGAAACTGCAAGTCGAAATTAAGATGAATAATTTACTGAAAATTTTGTACTTGTAGAATGTCAAAACTGCAAAAAATGGTATGAATAAAGTAATATATGTAGCGCGAATGAAGTGTTGATGTTGGATTAACATTGGCCCGTAGCATGCGTAGTGAAACTACAGAGTCGTGCCAAAAGTATTCGGCACTTGACGTAATTTCCATAGACTTGGACATGTTAATTTAGTGTAGCATAGACAATTTTCATGACTTTAAGTTTCGTAAGATCAAAGTCAGATTTTCCACATTTGTGATGAATCATTTTACCTACAATCACATAATTTCTGTTTAATTTTCCGTTGCTTATGTATCGAATGGCAACATTTTAATCAACATGTGTTTGTGTACAGTGCCGTGAGCTCCTTTAACATGGCGGCCTATGGGATTGTGCATTGTGGAACCATACGTAAGTTGATAAATGTGATGTCATTAGTTAAATAGTGGTCGGAAAATTGAACTGAAATTATGTGCGCAGAGCAGAGATGATTTCATATTTGACTGTCAAATTTTACAAAGATATCCATCCTAAACTCACTTCATGAAAATTATTTATGCTACACTGAAATAACATGTAAGTCTATGGGAGACGGTGATTTCGTAGACTGAACCAGTTCGTAGACGCGGTGGATTCGTAGCCCAGACTGGTTCGTAGACGGTGATTTCGTAGATGTGTATTAATAATTGAATAATAGTATATATTAAGTTTGATTTTTACTTAGATTGTGTATAACGAAGTTGTTAAGCTTTGTTTTCAGTGATACGAAACTAAGGGCAGCTAGAGACAAGAAAAGTGTGATGGAAGAGTGAACGAATATTTTCCCGTATCTTGTCTACACTTGTTTACATGTATTTGTATTTGTATATGTAGGGTTTGTGTTGTATTTTTTTGTTTTCAGTGATGCGAAAATAGTGTTACCTAATATACTTTTGGCACGCCTCTGTATATACTGTGTGGTGTTCAAAGATATCACGGGAAGTTTATGATCTACGTCTGACTCTGTGCAGTAGCAACTACCAGAGACCATATAATATATCTATTATATGGTCTCTGCAAATACACGAAGTGAACCGCTCAGGGTATCATTTTGTACAAATATCAATTAAAATTTCCTTTTCTGTACCGACTGGAAAAGGATCGATTTAATTAGACATCATGTTGATATCATAGGTCACGATATAATGTACAAGACTTCCTCGTAACTGTAATTTAATATTATCATTCCCGGAAGATATCTGAATACGTCTTGAATGTACAGGATTCATATTGTAGGTGTGTATTTCAATGTAAGTCTAGACGTATATACAATTAAATGTATGATACACTACGATCACAGTGATTACGTGTTATTTGATGGATACAAAAACATTATTCAAATCGATTCTAGATCAAAGTACAGTCCGGCTTTCTTGTAGATCTAACGTTAACGGAAAGGGAGGTAATGCTAGGGTTACACTATGTTCCCGGCGGCCACGGCAGCCTCGTCTCCCCGAAACGTAGTTCGCCGTAGGACTTTTGCCATTTTTTTCCTCCATAGTCAAGTTTTGTTAGGTCCTGCTAAGCTTACTCACGGTCTATCAGGGTATCAGTGATGGGCCGTTGGGATAAACGGGCTGTTGAGTCCCGGAAGCTCAAAGGCGCACTACGGTTCGGCCGCAGTCCACTACGGATGCCATTACGTTTCCTCCCGGCCTGTCGCGTTCCCTCACGTTTCTCACGTTTCGATCAAGGTTTTGACACGTTTTGCGCGTTCTGTCAAGACCTTCTAGGATGAAACGTGGACGCCGGCTAGCTTTGGACCACGTTTGTGCCCACGGTATAAAAGTAAGGCCTCCCAAGCAATAGCAGCCACTGTACCCTGAGACACAAGAGCAGCATAAAAAACCCAAGATGAAGAAGATTTTGTGTTTGTATGTTTGATGGGGGCATACATCGAATCCTTGCGTCAGCAAGAAGGCCTCAGCATCAGCTGCAGAGAGGAAATGCCAGAACGCAGTTCGTTGTGCCGTATCTCGCCGGCCCTGTAAACCGTCACACGCCTGGATGCGTCGTGATAGAACGGGACAAATCGGCTACCATACAACCTAGCTTGCCGTGAGAACCGGGACAAAACGGGCAGCAAGGGTGAAACAACCGTGACAAGACGCCAAATAAACATGGGCGAACGTAACAAAACTTGAAAGGATCCTGAGATGCCGGGGAATACACATGCCTCCCGTCCCACTATACGGACTGTCAACAAGTTTTGTTACGGCCTATTACGTGCTAACACGTTTTGTTGCGTTCTCCCCGTTTTACTACGGCCTACTAGGTTTCTCATTAGTACCGTGACTGGAAAAGTTTTGAACAGTTTACAAATCTGGTACGGCAATCACGGACTGTCACGTTTGCTCATTCAGTTCCCCGACGCCGGGAACATTGTGTAACCCTTGCATTAAACGTCTTTCGGTTGAATGAATGCTTTGTTTATCTCGATTCGATCGTTTGCAGGCCGTATGACAGCAGCACTGCTCTGCGGAGTTATGTAAAACACATCTAAAATGTTTTTTGCTAACTGTGTGAGTGACGAACACCAACTATCATCATAATTGTCAGTTATCCATTAATAAAATGTTCACAACTATTTTGCCATTTACGCCCAGTGGAGTGGAATGACGGATAATCGAGTCTGATTATCGTCTGGCGTTGACATGTTATATTATATTCATATAACACTAAGACGTGAGCTCTTGAGTGAACCCCACCCCTTTCCTTCCACTATAGGATCGTTATGCTGATGACTCAGACATAGCAAGTATTAAAATCTTGATCAATCTGGGATTCGAACCAACGAACATCTGATCTTGGGACAAGTAAGAAACTTGACTTTTTGTAACCCATTATTCTCTGGCACAAAGTGCTGTCTCGCTAACATCTGCTCCCTCTGAATCTCTGGTCTCCCTAGGGCTCCTTTTCAATATAAATGGGCTTGTTTGTTACTATCAAAATTATATATATTCAGAGACTAAGCCTTAGTCTACCTCCGATCTTGCTATGTAAGATTTTAGTCTCCATATTAGGGTTAAATGATCTAATCTAAAGTCGATGGAAGAGAGTAATTACGATGTGCAACAGATGAAGAACTATGTCTCCAGCGATGGTACTGAAAGAGATTGAATGTCTAATAGTATTCCCGACGTCCTCTTCCACTGGCTTCTATTCCCTCTTCCACTGGCTTCTACCCCCCTTCCTCTGGCTTCTATCCCACTCCCACTGGCTTCTATTCCCCTTCCTCTGGCTTCTATCCCCCTTCCTCTGGCTTCTATCCCCCTTCCTCTGGCTTCTATCCCACTCCCACTGGCTTCTATTCCCCTTCCTCTGGCTTCTATCCCCCTTCCTCTGGCTTCTATCCCACTCCCACTGGCTTCTATCCCCCTTCCACTGGCTTCTATCCCCTTCCTCTGGCTTCTATTTCCACTCCCACTGGCTTCTATTCCCCCTTCCACTAACGTCTGTTCCCTCTTCCACTGACTTTTTTAAAGCAGTGCTTTATGCCTATCCATTGGTGTCTTAAGTCTTTCTGGTCCAACTGGCGGTCTGGAATCTTGCTCCCAGCGGAAACCCTTCTCTCAGTCTCTTCCATATTAGTCTCTCTTCTTTTGCTTCCGCGCCGTCATGGTGTCTATTTGTTCCCTAATCCCTTTTTCATTCGCTTCAAATCTTACCATTTGCATGGCTTGTCATTTCTTCAGTGATGTAAGTCTTATTATTATCTAAATGACGTCAAGGGGGATGGGGGTAGCCAAGTGGTTGAAGGGTTCGCTCTTCAAGCCGAAGGTCAGTGTTCGATACCCCACATTGGGTGCAATTTGTGAAACCCGTTCTGGTTTTCTCCGCCGTGATATTGCTGGAATTTTGCTGAAAGCGGCGGAAAAAACAACTCACTCATCCCTTTCTTTCCCCCACTGGCATCTGTTTCTTTCCCAACATGTATGCACAAACTGTTTCTTTAAGTTCATTTCTAGTGTTCCCCGATGTGATGATGCTTGTGGTGGCATCCCGCCTGCTCACTCACTCACCATTTCGTCTCCCACTGGCGTCTTTATCTTTCCACGGACGTCATATCTCATTAATCGGAGTAGAAAGTCGGTAGACGACACTCCTGCCAGCGTAGGTCAATGCATTTCATCGTCGCCTGGGACTCGTAGACCCAATCATTATGCTGCTATTGTGATACTTTAAGCGTTGTTTATTAGAGAGTATACAACGTATTGAATAACTGCGATGAACTATATAGTGACGAAAATCTCCTCGTTATGAGACGATTATGTTGTCCCATATGATCGCAAGCATTACATCGTATATGTATTTGTAAGTTGTTGTGAGGGAAGTAGAATTTATTTCCAGGGCACTTATAAAATAGGTGATTATATCATGTAAGAGATTGTTATTTCTAAAAACTAACAAATGGTTTGGTGTGGTTGTTGTTCAACGCCGCACTCAGCAATATTCCAGTCTGTAAATAATCGAGTCTGAACCAGACAATCCAGTGATCAACAGCATGAGCATCGATCTAAACAAATGAGAATGTTAAGGAACAATATATACCACCGAGCAAAAGAACGTATAAGCCCATGTTTGATGGAGGCTAAAAGTGAAGCAAGCACCACGTGGTTATTCCGTGAGGTGTATTTGATAGGGGTG